CCTCGGGCTTCCTGGGGCTCGAAACGGCCGGGGCGGTATTGGGGCTGCGAGCCAATGACAACCCGCGTCGCATTCGACCGCACATGGTCGAGGTGGTTCTGGACGGGCGGTCGGTGCTGTACCATGTGTACAAGCGACCCTGGGCCGACTATTTCCTGCGCAAGGTCGCCTCGTGGTACACCGTGGTGGTGTTTACGGCAAGTGTGCAGGAGTATGCCGATCCGGTGATTGACTGGCTCGACCAGGGACGCGGGCTGATTTCAGCCAGGCTCTTCCGCGAGAGCTGCAGCTTCAAGGGTGGGAGCTATGTCAAGAATCTCAAGGTGGTCGATGAGGATCTCAGCAAGGTATGTCTGGTCGACAACAGCCCGGCGAGCTATGCGATCAATCGGGCCAACGGCATTCCCATCGAGGGCTGGACACACGATCCCAACGACGAGGCTCTGCTCGATCTGCTCCCCATCCTCGACTCGCTTAGATTCGCCACGGATGTACGACACATCCTTGGCATCCGAGGCTGGTAGATCCAACCCCCATCCCCCGCGCGCGTTTCGATCGCAACTCAAGTTCTTGGTCTCATCGAGCGCTTGCGCAAACACTTTGTTCACGGTTGGAGCGAGTTGGTGTGGAGAAGGAGGTATAAGATTGTGGGCATGGTGAGGAGGGCAAGCGGGGATTCACTTTTTAAAGGAAAAGGGATTCTTGAGACGCTTCTTGTCCTTGGAGCGCTGGCTGAGGTCGCTCGCCTGGCTGGGGGCAGGACTGGTGCTGCGTGCGCCGCTACCTGCATCCGCAGCAACGTGGGGTGGGAGGCTAGATTTTGGCCCCTGCTGCTGCTGCTGTTGTTGCTGGTGCTGCTGCGGATGGTGGGGTGGTGCGGGAGCATGCGACTGGAACCTGCGGTCGTACGTCGACTGGTCCACGGGTGGCGAGCCATAGCCCGACTGGCCGCCGTTGGTGCCGGCGTGCGCGGGGTAGGCGCCGTGCTTGAGCGACTCGGTGCGGATGGCGCTGCGGTCGTTGAGCGGTTTGCTGAGCCCCCTTGCGCCCGGTGGCAGTTGCTGTTCCTGCTGATGATGACGATGCTCGTGATGCGCGTGGTGTGGGCGCTGCTGCGCAGCCTCGCGCGACCCGGCCTTGCCAAACTGCTTGAGCACCTCGACAAACGATTGCGGGGTAAAGGTGTGCGACGATCCAATGTAGCAGTCCTTGCCCAGGCGTTCGCTCATCTGGTACGCCGAACGCATCTCGGAATACGTCATGCCGCCCGCAACGAACACAAGCACGCGCTGGCGGTTCTCGCTCCTCTCCACCCCGACGTTCGATCCACCCCGTCCCTTTTGGTGCCAGGTCGGCTTGGCAGAGCGCAGACTGCTGGGCTGCGTACGTGCGCTTGCCGCCGAAGCCGTCGTTGCGCTCCCCCCGCCAAGCCCGACGCGAGCCAGCGCCGAGGTTTGCACAGGCAGCGACAGGCCTGTCGATGCTTCCGGAGGCGCATCGCGCACGTAGGGGAAGGTGGCCTGTTCGAGCTTACCGGCAAAGTGGTCTTCGACCATGAGCTTGACGAGCGGCTGGTAACGGCTGAGTTCGAACTCGTTTTCGCCCGGCTGCTGCTTGCGCTTGCCCTTCTTGAACCACGCGTCCCAGCCGGACGCCGTGGCGTCGCGCACCACCTGTGCGCCGAGGTGGACGAGGTTGTCGACGGCGTCCATCTCGTAGCGCCCCAGACGCGCGTGCTGGAAGAGACGCTTGCGATCCTCGTCGGGTACGCCATCGCAGTACATGATGTAGAGCGCAATGATGCGCACCTTGTCCGTGTTCGTCACGCTGCGGTCGTCGAGCAGCGGCACCATCTCCTCGACGAGCGTCCGGGGTTTTTGGCCCTCGGGCGTGAGGCGTGTGGCGCAGTTCTGCTCCACCATGGCCTGCTGCGGCAGCCGCGACTTTTCGAAGCGGTTCATGCAGTCCTGCGCCATGGTGAGGTGGAGCGAGAGTTTCTCCTTCATCTCCTGCATGTGCGGCAGCGAGGCGAGCATGTCGCGCATGTCGTTGAGCGACGAGTTGGGGTCGGCAAACGCGCCCTGCTCGCCGGCGTGCTGCTTGAAGTCTTTGGTGAGCTTGTCGATGGCCTCGGCGATGTGCAGGTGTCGGATGCCCGTCCAGACGTTGTCGTCATCCGAGAGCACGGCGTCCTTCTGCTCGCGCTCGCCCTCGGCGGTGTAGAAGGTGTAGTTGTAGCGCGTGCCGTCCTCGATGGCGAGCAGGTCGTTGCACATGGCCTGGTAGGAGAACTCGTGCAGGAACGGCGCGACCGTGTCCATGGAGCGGTCGGTGATGAAGAGCACCGAACGCGGCCGGCTCGACTCGATCTTGGGCTGGTTGTCGCGCACGTACTGGTCGATGGCGGCCTGGACGCGCATGGCGAGCTTGCGTGTGAAATGCTCGCCGGCGACGGGACCGTCGGAGCCTGCGCCTGCGAGGCCGGCATCGTTGTTGGTGCCGCGCAGGCGCGCCATGCGTGCGCTGCCCTGGTACATGTTGGCGGCGGCGGTCTGAGATTTGATGGCATCCTTGGGTGGCTGGAGCGGGCCGAGTGGTGGATGGGAGGGGTTGTAGTAGCGGATGAGCGGGAACTCGTTGAGGGTGACGCATACGTTGAGGATGGCCTGTGTAGAGAACTGGAGCTCCTCGTCGATGGTGCGCATAGCCTCCATGGGGTCAGGACCATAGAGGCCGCCGAGGGGCTGAAAGAGGTTGAGGAAGCTCTGAGGCGACTTGAGCGAGAAGGCCTGGGATTCGGTGGGCCAGAAGTTGGTGTAGAGCTCAATGAGCTGGCGCAGCTTGGGCTCTGCGGGCGACGAGGTGAGCTTGTGGACGAGCGCGTCCGAGAGGCTGTCGACGAAGAAGATGTGGCCTGCGGCGTAGGTGGGCTGGCGGCCTGCGTCGGGGGCCAAGTCGCGGATGATGCGGTCTACGTTGTGGCTGGTGGGGGTGAGGAGGTAGCACGCCTCGAGCGACGACTGGGGAGCGCGACTGAGCTCGATGTTGTCCACCTGTGCGACGTTTTCCTGGAGGATGTCGTACATCTTGAGCACCGAGTTGAGGAGCTCCTTTGTGAACGAGTCTACGACGAGCACCTTCCATCTTGCGGGGGGCTGCACGGAACGGATGGTGTTGAGGTAGCGATCGCGCAGCGCCGTGACGAGCGATTTGGGCGGCATGATGGGCGGCGGGATGCGCGGCGGCCGCTCCGACTCGACTCGGCTCAGCTCAGCTCAGCTCAAGCTGCCTTTGCCGCCGCTTGTGTGATGCGTTGGAGGGCGCGCTCACCAGCTGTCAGCTGCCTTGGTCGGCCGATCCGATGGGATCAGTCAGCGCAAAAGCGTGTCGGCCAGAATCCGAACCACTGCGGTAGATGCGATGGCCTGGAATGGGAAGGAGGAGATGAGCAGCAAGAGCCGTTGGTGGATGTGCGCGTGTGTGTGTGTGTGTAGGCGTGGGGGTTGCTTGGCTTGAGGTGGTTGGCTTGAGTGGGTTTGGCCTGGCTGGGGCGCCGGTCGCTGCTGAGGCTCGAAAGCGCCTTTCAGGGTTGAACCGGGGCGGCTTCCGGGCGCGGCGGGCGTGTTGGCTCTGCTGGCTGCAGCGGACGTGCAGCACTCGCACTGCACTCTCTCTCCCACGCCGCCAACGCCCAACCGACTCGCCGAAGCTCCTGACTTGGGCTCATCGCTGTGACGCGCCTCTTGCAACGCAGGCTCAAACCTCCACAAAAGGAAAGCTCAAGGCTGCCGAAAATAGATTTGTTGTTGTTAGACTTTTGCTAACAACTTTTTGGATCTTTGTCGCGGCTCGGGCTGAAGAAGAGAGAGCGGCCCGATCACAGCAGGTTTGCGGCAGAGAGGGGCCACACGTGACTGGTGCGCACCGATGGCTCGACTTTGGTGGGCTCGGTTGGGCCAACAACGTCTGAAGCGCGCCGCCGCCGCCGTCCTCGCAGCGTCCTCCCTACATCCATATACAGACGACTTGCCCGTCAGACCCGGTCGTGAATCATCACAGCTCACGGATTGGAATTCACGGATCGCATTCTCATCAACACTCTAACCTGCCCACTCGGGCTTTGATCGTCAACCATGTCGTTCTTCGGCTTCGACACTTCGATGCCCGGCGACAGGCGCCCCACGCGTCCCAGCTACAAGCACGACGCCTTCGACCCCACCTTTGACAACGACGAGTCGCTCGATGCAAAGATCAAGGCGCTCGCTGCAGGCGCCCAGGAGGACGTAGAGATCTACACCTGGGGCCAGGAGGGCTACGACGGCCTGGGTGACAAACTCGACGAGTCCGGCGACGATCTCAACGAAGACACCTTTGGCGACGTCGACGTCGGCAAGGACTTTGACTTTGGCGCTCCCGCCGCTGCACCCGCCAACGCTCAGGCTCAACCGTCGTACCACAACAACAACTACAACCAGTATGCTCCACAGCAGCAGCAGCCCAAGTCCAAGTTCGACCCTTCCAACAAGTTTGCTGCAAGCCTGGATGATTTCCTCGTCGACCCTGTGCCTCGCTTCGGCACTGGTCGTGGCGCTCCCCAGCAGGCTTTGCCTCAACAGCAGCAGCAGCAGCAGCAGCAGC